GCAGGACCGCCCTTTTCTGAAACCGCATTGGGGCTCCGCAAGCCTCTCCTCAGCGTGCCTAGCAAGGCGATGTTGAATAATCCTTGCCAGGACCTTTCCCGGCACACTGAGGAGTGAGATGCCCCTGTAGTTGTTACAGTCTGTGCGGTCCCCCTTCTTAAAGAGGGGGACCACCAGGGCATCCTTCCAATCCTGCGGAACCCGTCCAGTGGTCCAGACTGTTATGTCATTTAGGGCAGTCTGTGCACAAGCGCCACCCTCCCTCAGCATTTCGCTTGGGAGATCATCTCTGCCCGGTGCCTTTCCTGGTCTCAGACTCCGGATCGCCTTCAGTACTTCCTCAATAGATGGCACCTCAGCCACTCACAGGGGGTGACCTCTTCCTATAGTTGAGGCACCGCAGCCTCAGCAGGGTTATCCCCACTTTGTGCCATGATGTTTTCCTGGCTGAGAGATTTCCCCTCCCCCAGGACTGCACAGAAATGCTCAGCAAATCTGCAAATCTGTTCCTGGGGGTCGGAGATTGGATCACCGTTTTTTCCTCTAATGATGGTAATAGGTGTGGCGCTGCAGGTTACTTTTTTGATGGGGTTAAATAATGATTTGTGATTGCGGGCCACTGAGGCAGACTATCTCCTCAGCAACCCGCGACCACCACCCATCCTTGCAGTGCCTTACGGCTCTCCGAACCTCCGAGCGAAGGCTGCGGTAAACCTCCTCATTCTCTGACGTGGGATGCTGTAGCCGATGAGAGTGGGCCTGTCGCTTTTTCTCAACTAACCTGAACACCTCCTCTGTCAGCCAGGGTTTCTGGGGAGGTCTGGATCGCGTACCCAAAGCAGCCATTGCAGCTGCATGAGTCACAGTCCTAAACCTCGCCCATTTACCCTCGACATCAGGAGTGGGGGACGATGCCAACCCCAGCTGCAAGCGATGATGAAATTCTCGCTTGCAACTTTCATCAGCTTGCTGAGACCAGGCCACTAAGGGTTTGATTGGGGTCCTGGGTGTACACCCACCACCGGAGTGGAAGAATGGCAGGCGCATCTTACAGATGACTAGTCGATGGTCAGAGGGCAGATCAGCTCCACGGTAGGTCCTGGTGTCAAGGACATGGGCTCGCATCCGCTGGTCCGTCACTATGTAGTCCAGCAGATGTTCTTGCTTGGACCCGGCATGCATCCATTATGTTGTGTGGATGCGCCGATGCCGGAAGAGCGTGTTGGTAATTACAAGCCCATGGGGTGCACAAAAATATAGCAGCCTCCTACCGTTGTTATTGAGCTGATCTGACCCATGCCTTCCAATCACTCCAGACCAGGTGCCAGCATCATGACCAAGATGACTCTGTCCCGAGTGGCCACTTTAGCCAGCACCTGTGACAGGAGGTCATAGAAGGCATCTGACTCATCGGCGTTGCCTGCATCCCTCCACGGATGTTCGTCTTCGGTGGGGGCATAAGTAACCACAACCACCACTCCTCGCCTCCGGTTGATGGGAAGGCGAGCCCAAAGTAGCCTGGGGCTTACAGCTTCCCACACCTCACCGCTACGCTCCCACGCCCCCTTCATTCTTTTGCTCAGAAGAAGAGCCACACCCTGTTGTTTGGCAGTCTCCTGCCCCGAGTAGAGGACTGTCCACCCCTCATGGTGGCAGGAGCCAGAACCGGTCCACCGGACATCCTGAATGCCACAGAGATCGAGACGGTACCGGTCCACACACAGACTCACACACTCACACAGACACAGACTCACACACACACACAAACTCACACACACACAGACTCACACACACACAAACTCGCACACACACAGACTCACACACAGACTCACACAAAAACACACACACACAGACGCACACACACACTCACACACACACAGACACACAAACAGACAAAGCTGCCCCGGGTAGGCCACGCGCGCCGCTGGGGCAAGTGCCGAGCAGCTGCCGAGGCCGCGAGGGGAGCCGCGAGAAGCGTTCACATCGCGTCGCGAGCACCGAGGGGGTCCCTATCGACGGGAGGGAGAGGTCCAAGGGGCTCCTAGGGGGTCCTAGGGGGTCCCGAGGGGGTCCCGAGGGGGTCCCGTGAGCGCTCACCTCTCTGCGCCCTCAGCCTGCGCATGGAGGTGACGGCCTCCGCCATTGCGCCTCGCGGGCCGGGACCACAATCCATAGTGCACATAGGCTATGGGGTTAGAATCCATAGTGCACATAGGCTATGGGGGTTAGAATCCATAGTCCGAATAGGATGTTGGGTTAGAATCCATAGTGCACATAGACTATACGGTTAGAATCTATAGTGTACGTTTGTGTGGGGGTTTAGAATCCATAGTGCACATAAGCTATCGGGTTAGAATCCATAGTGCACGTAGGCTGTGGAGTTATAATCCATGGTGCACATAGGTCATAGAGGCTTTCGGGTTAGAATCCACAGTGCACATAGGCCGCGGGATTAGAATCCATAGTGCATGTATGCTATGGGGTTAGAATCCATAGTGCGCATAGGCTGCGGGGTTATAATCCATAGTGCAGGTAGGCTGCGGGATTAGAATTCATAGTACACGTTGGATATGGGGTTAGAATCCATAATGCACATCGGCTGATGGATTAGAATCCATAGTGCACACAAGCTTTCGGGTTAAAATGTAATAGTACCGATCGGTATAAGATAATTGTCGTCACACAATTGAGTGTATGTCATAGTTCACAATGCATGTAGGCTACGGTGTTACCATTCAGAGCGTGCATAGGAGGGATGTCGAACTTTTTTCGCACCGTACGCAGCGCAGTAGTACAACCTCGACATACAAAGTCGATGCGTTCCTGGAGCGTTGCGCATTGAAACGTCGTAAAGCGAATCACTTATAACACCAGAGCTGTGAGGATGCGTTCCCAACCTGTGATTTACCATTTCAGACAACTTCACAACGTAGCGTTCACGTCGCGTGCTGACACAGAAGCACTCCTCTTAACGACAACCCTTCACCATAGAGCACAACGTGTAGTGTATAGTGTAGTGTATAGTGTAGTGTGTAGTGTAGTGTATAGTGTAGTGTGTAGTTTAGTGTAGTGTAGTGTATAGTGTAGTGTATAGTGTAGTATATAGTGTAGTGCATTGTAGTGTATAGTGTAGTGTGTATAGTGTAGTGTTTAGTGGTGTAGTGTATAGTGGTGTAGTGTATAGTGTAGTGTATAGTGTAGTGTGTAGTGTAGTGTATAGTGTAGTGTATAGTAGTGTATAGTGTAGTGTATAGTAGTGTATAGTGTAGTGCAGTGTATAGTGCAGTGTATAGTGCAGTGTATAGTGGTGTAGTGTAGTGTATAGTAGTATAGTGTAGAGTGGAGTGGAATGTGTAGTGTATAGTAGTGTATAGTGTATCGTAGTGTATAGTGTAGAGTGGAGTGGAATGTGTAGTGTATAGTGTAGTGTATAGCAGTGTAGTGTATAGTGTAGTGTATAGTAGTGTAGTGCACCGTGTAGTGTATAGTGTAGTGTATAGTGTAGAGTAGAACCCCTGTTAACGACTCATCTATTAATTATCGACGGGCCTCCACCATCGAGCCCACCGTGTTCGCTGAGCGAACGTCGCCCAGTTAACGACGGGCTCATGATGAACACGTGGCCGCCAATTTCGGCCAATCGGCGAGCTCCAAAGCGGTCCGAGGAGGCCTCGGCCAATCAGCGACGTCCATTCACGAGCGTTGAGGGAACATTGCAGTGGGAAACATCTCCTTTGAATGCCCCGCCCCCTCCCCTCCCGATACGTTCCATTCATTGGCTACCACATTCTGATAAGCTCCCCCCCCTTAACTTGTATTTAAGAACTTTCATCTTGGAATCCCTGCCTCACTTGATACAGCAAATCTGGCTGTGACGGTCCCACCTGATTACGAAGACTTGTGTTGCCTCCGAAACGTCGTGATTTTATTATTTTAATTTTTATTAATTTTAATTTCATTTTTTACTTACATGGTGACTTTACCGAAAGGACTAAGAGTATGAATCCTTGCAGTCACGAAAGCTTCAAATCTAGAATCTCCTTTGAATTCTTGTCGGTGTTACTGCTACGTCCTATACTCGCTTACCAGCTTCACGTTCCTTATTGCCGTACAAATACCGGAAGAAGGCCCTTTGCTATTGATGCCCCCAGGGTCTGGAATGCTGTCGCCAATAAACTGCAACTTGGATCACTACCTGTGAGATCTTCACTCAAAACTGCTCTAGAGGAGTTGTACACCCCCAGCTGCCACTGATATTCAGTGGCCTGAAATCAAATGCATCGCTCCGGATCGCCGCTGCAAAGTATGATCTTGAGTTTTGATTATAGTGTGCTGATCTTTAAAGGTGCATTGAAAAATGTTGATACTCCTACTGATGCTCCTGCTGTTATGGAGCGACTCGTGCTGCCAGCTATGTCTGCAAAGTTTGGTGGTACATGTTGTTTATCGTTTATTGTTACATTTGAATCACAGTTCCTATGATCACTGTTACATTGTTTTTCTCGCTTTATTTTGATTTGGAAAAGTTTTTGTTGAGCCATGTTTGTTTGTTGTAGTACAGAGTTAGCCTGATAACTTTAATCTACATTGTCTTATGGTTGTTATTGTTTGACTTGCATCCCACTGGGATTTTTGCACACAGCGTTGATATCGGTGCTTTTTCTGGAAGACTTTTGCTGTTTTTTCCTGGATATTTCTGTTTGCGTGTAGTCACTAGAAGATGTTTCTTGTTCATGTTTTTGTTTGTTGCGGTTGCACCCGAGTCAAGAGCCGCATGGCTCACAGGGTTTTATTAATACATGAAATTGAAACGACCGAATCAGTTACCGACCGATTCGTGCAACCAATTACCGCCGCTAAGAGGGCGTCTACTGCAGTAGTAGCAGCAGCACATCTTCGTATGTCGCTCAGCGTTATACATACCGGGGGGGGGGATCGATTTCGCTGAGACGCGGAACTTTTCAAGCTCGTCAAAGCGAGGGACCTCAACGATTTGCACGAACGTTAAAGTATCAGTTTATTACATTTCCTGGTTTTACACAGGCTTACGTATATGGTGGGGGTATAACCGACGTGGTGTGTACATAGTTCACGTAAGAATCGTACGAAACGCATTGCCCCCCCCCGCCCCACTCGTCAAAACGGAACACATCCGACCGTCAGTGACATCCGAATGGGCCAAAGTCACATCGCCTGGGCCGTCAGCAATGCAGCCAACTGGAGCCCTTGAACATTGGCCGCTGCTATAAATTTCCACACGATGACTATGATGAGGTCTGCCACTTCCGTTGAGCTGCGGCCATTCGCGATGATGGGTACGTCGCTTCTGAAAGAGAGCTGCCACATACCCCAGTGGGCCTCGCCTTGTAAAATAAGCGTTGTGTTTAGTCTGCGATTTGATTACATTTCATACACTTGGCACGATCGTGTGTTTTGTTCTAACTTTCGGACCCCCTGCCCCAATTGAGCTTGTTATAAACGAGCTTCATAGCTCATCAAATTCCTCCTGCAGTCTCAATAACGATTCTGATGTCTGAACGCTTTGGGAGCCCTTTGACACTAAACCCCCATGCCCCCCCCCCAACCACCAAAGCGCTGGGCCCGGGGCAGTCACCCCTTGGAGACTTCTCAGGGGACGGGGCGTCCGTAAACACAGATGCTTCTCTCTCCACTGCTGGATTATTAGAGGGGAGGGGGGGTGGCCCCCTTCCCATTGCATGTATATTGTGGGAATCGGGGGGGGGGGGGCGTTTGACCATACTTCTTGGTTCGGTGCGATCGAAATGGAGACACGTTACGGACGCGGCGCATGGGGATACGCACACACACACTCACGTACAACTTACATGTCACAGCTCTTACTGGTAAAGGCGGTAGATCCACCACTCTTACACTTCCCATACGCACGAGGGGTGATTCGGAGACCAGTGACTGGAAATGGCAGATATGAAGAGAGCAGGGCGGCTTTATAATCCCTAGTTCAGATACGCAGAACCTCCGCACTAAAGTGGCTTACAAAAACTAATGATAACATAATAGCATTGTGACAGCGCGTGAGACTGGGTGGGTGGGCGGGTGAGTGGGTGGGTGAGTGAGTGAGTGGGTGAGTGGGTGAGTGAGTGGGTGAGTGAGTGGGTGGGCGAGTGAGTGAGTGTGTCAGTGGGTGAGACTGGGTGGATGAGTGAGTGAGTGGGCGAGCGAGTGAGTGGGTGAGTGAGTGTGTCAGTGAGTGGGACTGGGTGGATGAGTGAGTTGATGAGTAAGTGGGTGACTGAGTGAGTGAGTGGGTGAGTGAGTGGGTGAGTGGGTCAATGTTTAAGTGAGTGGGTGATTGAGTGCTTGAGTGGAAATTTCTCATTCCCAAAGATCTTCAGATCGTCCAAACTTGAAAACCAGACCCCTGCAACACAAAAACTCATGTCAGTACTCACCACTCACTCGCCCACTCACCCGCCCAACCACTCACTCACTCACCCACTCACTCACTCGCCCACTCGCCCACTCGCCCACTCACTCACTCACTCACCCACTCACTCACTCACCTGCCCAACCACTCACTCATCCACCAACCTGTCCACCTGCTCACTCCCACCCATTCACTCACCCACCCCTCCCCACCCATTCACTCAAGCGCTCGCTCACTCAAGCCCTCACCCACAAAACTTCTCACCCACTCACTCGCTCACCCACGAACCCACTCACTCGATCACCCACCCACCGACTCAAGCCCTCACCCACTCATCCACACAATCACTCACTTAAATGTTCACCCACTCAACTGTCCACTCACTCACCCACAAACCCACTCGCTCACTCGCTCACTCACGCACCCACCCACTCAAACCCTCACCCACTCACCCACACACTCAAACCCTCACCCACACACTGGGTGACCCACCCACTCACCTACCCACCCACTCAAACCCTCACCCACACACCCACACACTCGGTGACCCACCCACTCACCTACCAACCCACTCAAACCCTCACCCACTCACCCACACACTGGGTGACCAACCCACTCACCCACACACTCAAACCCTCACCCACTCACCCACCCACACACTCAAACCCTCACCCACACACCCACACACCCGGTGACCCACCCACACACCCACACACTCTGTTGTGGGACTTACCCAAAGAAAATGAACGCGTTCTGGAAGAAGACAGCCAGACCCGGGTAGACATTCTCTTGCTCTGCAACCACCGCCACCACATTAACCACATCAACACATGCACAACATGTGACATGCACAACATGTGACATGCACAACATGTGACATGCACAATATGTGACATGCACAACATGTGACATGCACAACATGTGACATGCACAACATGTGACATGCACAACATGTGACATGCACAACATGTGACATGCACACATGTGACACTCACACAGCACTGATCTCAACTGCAAAATAAACCATTTCTATTTTACCCAGTAAGGCCCACTGAGCTATTTAGCTATTTTTCAGAAGCGACCTGGTCACAAATGATAGCGCTACGAAGTGGCTTGTCGTGTTTTCCCCATGGAGGTTGCGTGGATTTCTCTCCAGGTCCTCCGGCTTTTCCCTCCACATTTCGAAACAATACGTGCTTGGATTATGTGGCTGCTGCAATACATTTACACGTGATAATTATCTGTGTGATGAGTCTGTGGGCCTCTGTGTGGCGAGTCTGTGGGTCTCTGTGTGGTGAGTCTGTGGGTCTCTGTGTGGTGCGTCTGTGGGTCTCTGTGTGACGAGTCTGTGGGTCTCTGTGTGGTGAGTCTGTGGGTCTCTGTGTGGTGAGTCTGTGGGTCTCTGTGTGGTGCGTCTGTGGGCCTCTGTGTGGCGAGTCTGTGGGTCTCTGTGTGGTGAGTCTGTGGGTCTCTGTGTGGTGAGTCTGTGGGTCTCTGTGTGACGAGTCTGTGGGTCTCTGTGTGGTGAGTCTGTGGGTCTCTGTGTGGTGAGTCTGTGGGTCTCTGTGTGATGATTCTGTGGGTCTCTGTGTGATGAGTCTCCGGGTCCCTGTGTGGTGAGTCTATGGGTCTCTGTGTGATGAGTCTGTGGGTCTCTGTGTGATGAGTCTGTGGGTCTCTGTGTGATGAGTCTCCGGGTCTCTGTGTGATGAGTCTCTGGGTCTCTGTGTGATGAGTCTGTGGGTCTCTGTGTGATGAGTCTGTGGGTCTCTGTGTGGTGAGTCTGTGAGTCTCTGTGTGGTGAGTCTCCGGGTCTCTGTGTGGTGAGTCTGTGGGTCTCTGTGTGGTGAGTCTGTGGGTCTCTGTGTGATGAGTCTGTGGGTCTCTGTGTGGTGAGTCTGTGGGTCTCTGTGTGGTGAATCTGTGGGTCTGTGTGTGATGAGTCTATGGGTCTCTGTGTGGTGAGTCTGTGGGTCTCTGTGTGACGAGGTCTGTGGGTCTCTGTGTGACGAGTCTGTGGGTCTCTGTGTGGTGAGTCTGTGGGTCTCTGTGTGACGAGTCTGTGGGTCTCTGTGTGGTGAGTCTGTGGGTCTCTGTGCGATGAGTCTGTGGGTCTGTGTGTGACGAGTCTGTGGGTCTCACTTGTGACGACAAATCCACCAAACAGGATCCACATGGAGGCGATGAGGGCTCCGAATGACAACATGAAGCCCACAAACAGCCAGACGCGCGCCCCTGCACCCGGAGAGAGACACGGAGAGACAGAGTTTGACATAACGCCTTGGGGGAGACGCAGGGAGGGGAGTGGGGGAGACGCAGGGAGGGGAGGGGGGGGAGACGCAGGGAGGGGAGGGGGGGAGGGGAGTGGGGGGAGACACAGGGAGGGGAGTGGGGGGAGGGGAGTGGGGGGAGACACAGGGAGGGGAGTGGGGGGAGGGGAGTGGGGGAGGGGAGGGGGGGAGACACAGGGAGGGGAGTGGGGGGAGACACAGGGAGGGGAGTGGGGGGAGACACAGGGAGGGGAGTGGGGGGAGGGGAGTGGGGGGAGGGGAGTGGGGGGAGACACAGGGAGGGGAGTGGGGGGAGACGCAGGGAGGGGAGTGGGGGGAGACGCAGGGAGGGGAGTGGGGGGAGGGGAGTGGGGGGAGGGGAGTGGGGGGAGACACAGGGAGGGGAGTGGGGGGAGACGCAGGGAGGGGAGTGGGGGGAGACGCAGGGAGGGGAGTGGGGGGAGACACAGGGAGGGGAGTGGGGGGAGACGCAGGGAGGGGAGTGGGGGGAGACGCAGGGAGGGGAGTGGGGGGAGACACAGGGAGGGGAGTGGGGGGAGGGGAGTGGGGGGAGGGGAGTGGGGGGAGACACAGGGAGGGGAGTGGGGGGAGACGCAGGGAGGGGAAGTGGGGGGAGACGCAGGGAGGGGAGTGGGGGAGACGCAGGGAGGGGAGTGGGGGGAGACACAGGGAGGAGGGGAGGGGGGGAGGGGAGTGGGGGAGGGGAGAGGGGGAGGGGAGACGCAGGGAGGGGAGTGGGGGGAGACGCAGGGAGGGGAGTGGGGGGAGACACAGGGAGGAGGGGAGTGGGGGGAGGGGAGTGGGGGGAGGGGAGAGGGGGGAGACGCAGGGAGGGGAGTGGGGGGAGACACAGGGAGGGGAGTGGGGGGAGACACAGGGAGGAGGGGAGTGGGGGGAGGGGAGTGGGGGGAGGGGAGTGGGGGGAGGGGAGAGGGGGGAGACGCAGGGAGGGGAGTGGGGGGAGACACAGGGAGGGGAGTGGGGGGAGGGGAGTGGGGGGAGGGGAGGGGAGTGGGGGGAGAGGAGAGGGGGGAGACGCAGGGAGGGGAGTGGGGGGAGACGCAGGGAGGGGAGTGGGGGGAGGGGAGTGGGGGGAGGGGAGTGGGGGGAGGGGAGAGGGGGGAGACGCAGGGAGGGGAGTGGGGGGAGGGGAGTGGGGGGAGGGGAGTGGGGGGAGGGGAGAGGGGGGAGACGCAGGGAGGGGAGTGGGAGGAGACGCAGGGAGGGGAGTGGGGGGAGGGGAGTGGGGGGAGCAGGAGGGGAGTGAGTCACAGGAAGTGAGTCACAGGAAGTGAGTCACAGGGAGCAGGAAGTGAGTCACCTGTCTGTCCCATGCACCCATCGCTGTATCCATCTCCTCTGACCTGGCCGTTAGAGACGGCATTTATCCTGCACACAGACAGAGACATACACAGAGAGACACACACAGACAGAGACACACACAGACAGAGAGAGACACACACAGAGAGAGACACGCGACAATTCGTCTCGCTTCGGTAGCGGCGGGTGGTTGTGCCGATTGTGGTGGCGGTGGTGGTGGGTGGCTGAGGGGAGCGGTGGCGCAGCGGTTAGCGCCATCCTGCACTACGAACCCGGCGACCCGAGTTTGATTCCCCCTCAAGGCCACCAACACTGCTGACAGATGCCTGAACCGATCCTGAACCTCCCCTAGGTCAGCTCAGCCTTAATCGAATGCCTGTTGCAGTGCGTAGTAAACATCTCCACGAGGGAGACAAAGGCGGCCGGGCGTGGTGCTTGCCACCCACCCCCCCGTGTGCCGCATTGGCCTTCAGTGGTGTTGCTACTTGCTAACAGCACTTGCCCCATCAGTCTACACGGGGGATCTTTGTCTTTGGTCGTGGTTATGGTGGTTGTAGTGGTGGTTGTGGTGGTGGTTGTGGTGGTTGTAGTGGTGGTGGTGGTTGTAGTGGTGGTGGTGGTGGTTGTGGTGGTGGTGGTGGTTGTATTGGTGGTTGTGGTGTTGGTGGTGGTGTTGATGGTGGTGGTTGTGGTGTTGATGGTAATTGTGGTGATTGCAGTGGTGGTTGTAGTGGTGGTTGTAGTGGTGGTTGTAGTGGCGGTTGTGGTGGTGGTTGTGATGGTTATGATGGTGGTTGTGTTAATGGGTGTAATGGGTGTGGTGGTGTTGATGGTGGTGGTGTTGATGGTGGTGGTGTTGATGGTGGTGGTGTTGATGGTAGTGGTTATGATAGTGGATGTGATGGTGTTGATGGTGGTGTTAATGATGGTGGTGGTGTTAATGATGGCGGGTAGTGATGGTGGTGGTGGTGTTGATAATGGTGGTGGTGTTGATGGTGGTGTTGATGGTGTTGGTGGTGGTGTTGATGGTGGTGGTGTTTTTGGTGGTGATGTTGATGGTGGTGGTGTTAATGGTGGTGTTGATGGTGGTGGTGTTAATGGTGGTGTTGATGGTGGTGGTGGTGTTGATGGTGGTGGTGTTGATGGTGTTGATGGTGGTGTTGATGGTGGTGTTGATGGTGTTGATGGTGTTGGTGGTGGTGTTGATGGTTGCTTACATGAGGAAGGCTATAGTTGAGATCACACCACACGTGTGGTAAGCGTGGTTGAGTTTAGACGACTCAGGATACATAACCGCAGCGTCGATGATCACCCACCAACCTGTGAAAAACTACAACCACCACAACAACCACCACCACGACAACCACCACCACAATTAGCAACAGCAATGTTAACAGCAGAAGCAGCACCATTACAAACCACGCGGCATTGATAACAGCATCATCACCATCACCGCATTCATCACAACCACATCAACCACCACCACCACTAAAGACCCACCCCGAGGGTGCACGGCGAATGTTTGGGTAGATCCCCTTCCCAGAGCTTCCATGTCGCGGGGTCAGATGTGTTGGCTTCTGCTGGCCAACAAATACATTTCTTATAGGGTCCGCACTCACTACACACACACACAGTGCTTGTCACAAACGATACCTCAATACCCATCTCTGGAGACCACTTTTTGCCAGTATCCAAACTTGATTTGAAGCTTTCGTGACTGCAGGAATCCATCTCTTTTGTTCTTTCGGTAAAGTCACGTGGGTATAATCTCCATATATAGAAAAGGCAACGTTGTGATTATGTGTGTCTGTTCAAAATATTTAGCGTACTTCCCGACATGCAACAAACTGCAAATTTGCCATGTGGGTACTTTCCAGACTGTACACCATGCAAACATTAATAAATAAACTTTTTGGGGGGGGGGGGGGGGGAGCTCAATAATGCAGAGATTGTTTGCACGGCAAGTGAGAATGTGACGTCACATCTGTCACATGACCCGCGCGTGTGGAAGTGTAACGCAGTGTTGTGTAGTGGGGGTGAGTGGTGGTGCAGTGGTTAGCGCGCTGTGTGTGTGTGCGGAGTGGTGGTGTAGTGGTTAGCGCGCCGCACTACGAATCCGGCGACCCAAGTTCGATTCCCGCTCACGGCCACCACCGGTGACGATTATTTGAACCGGTCCTGGGCCTCCCCTAGGTCGACTCAGCCTCAAACAAGTAACTGGTGTGGTGTGTGAACATTGCCACTGGGTAGACAAAGGCGGCCAGGTGTGGCGAATCCAAGTCCCGGGCGAAGCCGGGTAGTACAGCTAGTCTAAAATAAATCACGCGCCCGAAACGACGTGATTTATTTTATTTTATAGAATCCAAAATGTTGAAAAATAAGAAGAGGGTTGGTACCCTTCGCTGGCAATGAAAACAGGAGTTGTGTTCAGATGTTCAAACACAAAATCGATCCCCAGTCTGGCAAGGCATCAAGTCTGCATTCACCACAAACTTGCGGCAAGAAATGCCAACAAAACCGGCTCTAATTAAAGCTTTCGTGACTACAGGGATTCATATTCTTGGTTCTTTCGGTAAAGTCACGTAGAAGGGAAACAATAAAATAATAAAATATAAAACAATAAAATTCTCACGACGTTTCGACTGCAACACAAGCAATCATTTTCAGGTGTGAAATCCACAGCAAGAAACTTTAACTAAACCGTTTCTTTTACGAGCTAAATATTCTTGCTGTGGATTTCACACCTGATGATGATTGCTTGTGTTGCAGTCGAAACGTCGCGAGAATTTTATTGTTTAATATTTATATTATTTTATTATTTCCCTTCTACGTGACTTTACCGAAAGAACCAAGAATATAAAACCTGCTCTAATAACAATACTAAATGCATTGTTTTTTAAACTGTTAGGCCTATGTTAGAGACAGCCTTCTTTATGGCCTAGTCTCACCACTTACAGCTCAAGTTGAGCACTTACATCAATGGGGACACCTTTTTGTTAGTATCCAAAATGATGCAAAATAAGAAAAGGTTTCACCCTTTCTGGCAATAAAACAGATGTTAAGATGGGTTTTTTCGTCAGGTAGAACCACAATGCTTCACTGATCCCATCAAGGAGCAGAATATGAAATAATACCAATGCCATCTACATCTGCAGAACATGAAGTACCAGTGGCATCTACATCTGCAGAACGTGAAGAGCCAATGGTATCTACATCTGTAGAACGTGAAGAACCAGTGGCATCTACATCTGAAGAACGTGAAGAACCAGTGGCATCTACATCTGCAGAACGTGAAGAACCAGTGGCATCTACATCTGCAGAACGTGAAGAACCAGTGGGATCTACATCTGCAGAACATAAAAAACCAGTGGCATCTACATCTGCAGAACGTGAAGAACCAGTGGCATCTACATCTGCAGAACGTGAAGAACCAGTGGCATCTACATCTGCAGAACGTGAAGAAGCAGTGGAATCTACATCTGTAGAACATAAAAAACCAGTGGCAACCCACATCTGTAGAACATGAAGTACCAGTGGCATCTACATCTGAAGAACGTGAAGAACCAGTGTCATCTACATCTGCAGAACGTGAAGAGCCAATGGTATCCACATCTACGGGAGATGATACAATTTTTAAAGCCATTCCCCGTGTTTAGTGGACACTCCGTACAACGCGTTTGGAATCATCAGGGGTAAAGTTTGGACTTAGGAACAGACCTCTGGAACCGAACTCGTTGGCAATTACAGGAGTCCATGAATAGCACTATACGAGGCGGTACGCCCGTAGTGGTTGTGGTAACGGTGGTGGATGTGCTTGTGTGTTCGTGATCACCAGCACGCCCGCAGCCACGGAGGCGATGGCATTTCTCTTCTCGCTCCAGTCGATGCATTCGCACTCGGGCCAGCGCACGTGATCCAGAAACCCGGCCATTCTGAAACCACAACATCATCAGCAACTTTCGATTTAAAGCTTTCGTGACTGCAGGGATTCATCTTCTTGGTTCTTTCGGTAAAGTCAAGTAGAATGGAAATAATAAAATAATAAAAATAAAACATAATAAAATTATTCTCACGACGTTTTGGCCACAACGCAAGCAGCCGTCCTCAGGTGAAGAACAGGTCTGTCGATAAGACAGAGTCAGACCTGTTCTTCACCTGAGGACGGCTGCTTGCGTTGTGGCCGAAACGTCGTGAGAATTATTTTATTATGTTTTAATTTTTTTAATTTTATTATTTCCATTCTACGTGACTTTACCGAAAGAACCAAGAAGATCATCAGCAACGTCGTCATCAACAATACCATCGGCAACAACAACAACAGCCATTCGCCACTAAGTGGCGGTAACGTCACCATGGCGCCTGTGCCAGGATAGGTGCACTTTGAGGCCACACGTGAAGTGTCGAATGGTCGCTGCTGACAGGAGGCCACGGGACAGACCAGGTGTCGTGGGTTGAATGACAGAGATCACTGGCAGATTCAACACCATCATCAACACCATCATCAACACCATCTTAAAAATGACAAATCACATTGGCAAATGTCACTGTATTTAACACTAATCTCCTGCTTCAGGGTGTTTATAGAAGGAAGATTTACAATGTTCAGGGAGGAGACAAGATTAGTGCTACAACGCCAAAGGCTGTCACCTATTATTGTTCTTGTTCTTTGTATACCATGCGTCAGGTCACTCTTACAAATGAGACTCCTATCCTGGTCTCTATTGAGTTATTACCTGGTTACACGAGATCAATTTTAACTCGTCCACCAACTCACTCACCCGTTCACTCAATTACCCACTCACTCACCTATTATCTCACTCACTCACCCACTTACTTGATCCACATTTGATCCCGATTCAAGAGCCGAATGGCTCACAGGGCTATACCTAATAAATGAACTTGAACTTGAACACTCGTCCACCAACTCATTCAGCCGTTCACTCAATTACTCACCCATTGTCTCACTTACTCACTCACCCACTTGATCTACAAACCCACTCACTTGTCCACCAACTCACTCACCCGTTCACTCAATTACCCACTCACTCACCCATTGTCTCACTCACTCGCCCACTAACTCACTCGCTAACCCGCTCACTCACGACTCAATCTTCAAAATGAGACTCATACTGGTCTCACGAGTTCGTCTGGTTAAATACAATCAACTTTAAGCATCTGAAACTTTAACCTCTAAAACATAAATTATAGCAACAAAGATCCCCCGTGTAGCCTGTAACAGACTGCTGAGGCAAGTGCTGTTAGCGATCACCCATGAAGGCCGACACGGCACACGAGGGGGTGGGGGGCCAGCACTACGCCCGGCCGCCTTTGTCTCCCCAGCGGCGATGTTCACAGACGTCCAGTCGAAACTACCACGAGCTCAAATCGTCGGTCACAACCCAACCACAAGAACCGACTGACACAACACACCCTGCACATTGTTGACATCACGCAACCACATCAACAACAACCACCACGACACAACCTGACTCAGACACGCAACACACGGACACACAACCACATCAACAACAATCACCACGACACATGGACACACAACCACGCAACACACGGACACGCAACACACGGACACAACACAACACACGGACACAACACACGGACACGCAACGTGACACCCCCCACCACCAGTCGCGCTCCGCCTGAGGCCTAGCTCAGGCTGCTGGGCGAGAATCCATGCAAGGCCCGTAGAGCCCCGCGGGAAGCCCGAATATAATCCAAACAGCGCCAGGACGGAAGCGTTATGGGGGTTGTTTTAATTCGCGCGCGATGCTGCGAGTGGAACTCACGCGTCTGTGTGTCTCTGCGTGTCTCTGCGTCTCTCTCTGTCGTCTCTTGCGAGTCAGCGAGGAAGGAGGAGACGCCGATTAGAAAGCAAACAATGGAGGCGACTTCCCGAGACGAGCGTCAACACGCGTGACGTAATCACGCCTCCCGCTGACGTCACCGCGCACAGCCGCCTCAGCGTTGCAACTCGACTGGTGACGTCATGACGCACAAGAGTCCCGTTCTCGTGCCGGGCCCGTGACGTCATCACGCACGGTGACGTGTTGTTCATTTAATAAACAAAAGGAGGACATCCTCTTTGGTTCCGCCGCTAAAGGGGCGGCCCATAAATGACGTCACGCACCCAGTGGGGGGGGTCAGACATTTGTGACAAGAGGGGAGGGGTTTGAGAAATGTGACGTCACATCAAAATGCGCAACTTTTAAATAAATATAGACAACACGTTCTACTTATCTTCTTGGTTCTTTCGGTAAAGTCACGTAGAAGGGAAGTAATAAAATAATAAAAATAAAACAATAAAAAAATTCTCACGACGTTTCGGCCACAACGCAAGTAGCCGTCCTCAGGTGAAACCAGGTCTGTCACCTGAGGACGGCTGCTTGCGTTGTGGCCGAAACGTCGTGAGAATTATTTTATTATTTTTATTTTATTATTTTATTACTTCCCTTCTACGTGACTTTACCGAAAGAACCAAGAAGATGAATCCCTGCAGTCTCGAAAGCTTTAAAACGTTCTACCTAATTAAATAGACTTTTTAATAAATGTTTTCTCCTACAACATCAGTGTGCAGCGGCACATTAAATACGCACTACAATGACAATAGTTTAAAGCGATTGGAAGCATGTTTTTTTTTGGGGGGGCAGAGCTTTGTGACGTCATATTTGAGGGGGGGTCTGACGTTTTGTGACGCCGTGTGACGAGAGGGGGGGTCAAAAATCGTCCAAAATCGCGTGACGTCATTTATGAACGGCCCCTTAGTTTGTATCCACCAGCGTGTTGCATGTCAGGAATGACATCTTTCACAGATGGGATCAGGTCACGGATTGTGTGTCCCGTGCTGGATCGAACCTGAATCTTGTGTTTGTTCAAGATTTTGGAATATTCAGGGGGCCGCTACGTCATCACGCACAGGTACAAGAGGGCCCGTGACGTCATCACGCACAGGTACAAGAGGGCCCGTGACGTCATCACGCACAGGTACAAGAGGGACCCGTGACGTCATCACGCACAGGTACAAGAGGGACCCGTGACGTCATCACGCACAGGTACAAGAGGGACCCGTGACGTCATCACGCACAGGTACAAGAGGGACCCGTGACGTCATCACGCACAGGTACAAGAGGGACCCGTGACGTCATCACGCACAGTAGACACAATCCACTCTGTGACGTCATCACGTACAGGTACAAGAGGGACCGTGACGTCATCACGCACAGTAGACACAATCCACTCTGTGACGTCATCACGCACAGGTGCAAGAGGGACCCGTGACGTCATCACGCACAGTAGACACAATTCACTATGACGTCATCACTTAAGTCGATGCACTAGGGGCCGTGACGTCATCACGCACAGTAGACACAAAAGGAGCTGTAACGTCATCACTCATAGAAGATACAATTGGAACTGTGACCTCATCGCGCATAGAAGACACGATGGGGGCGTGACGTCATCACGCACAATACACGATGGGGTGCCATCATCACGCACAGAAGACACGAAGGGGCGGCCGTGACGTCATCGCGCACAGGAGACACGACAGGTACAAGAGGGCCCGTGACGTCATCACGCACAGGTACAAGAGGGCCCGTGACGTCATCACGCACAGTAGACACAATCCACTCTGTGACGTCATCACGTACAGGTACAAGAGGGACCGTGACGTCATCACGCACAGTAGACACAATCCACTCTGTGACGTCATCACGCACAGGTGCAAGAGGGACCCGTGACGTCATCACGCACAGTAGACACAATCCACTCTGTGACGTCATCACGCACAGGTACAAGAGGGACCGTGACGTCATCACGCACAGTAGACACAATCCACTCTGTGACGTCATCACGCACAGGTACAAGAGGGACCGTGACGTCATCACGCACAGTAGACACAATCCACTCTGTGACGTCATCACGCACAGGTACAAGAGGGACCGTGACGTCATCACGCACAGTAGACACAATCCACTCTGTGACGTCATCACGCACAGGTACAAGAGGGACCGTGACGTCATCACGCACAGTAGACACAATCCACTCTGTGACGTCATTACGCACAGGTACAAGAGGGACCGTGACGTCATCACGCACAGTAGACACAATCCACTCTGTGACGTCATTACGCACAGGTACAAGAGGGACCGTGACGTCATCACGCACAGTAGACACAATCCACTCTGTGACGTCATTACGCACAGGTACAAGAGGGACCGTGACGTCATCACGCACAGTAGACACAATCCACTCTGTGACGTCATTACGCACAGGTACAAGAGGGACCGTGACGTCATCACGCACAGTAGACACAATCCACTCTGTGACGTCATCACGCACAGGTACAAGAGGGACCCGTGACGTCATCACGCACAGTCGACACAATCCACTCTGTGACGTCATCACGCACAGGTACAAGAGGGACCGTGACGTCATCACGCACAGTAGACACAATCCACTCTGTGACGTCATCACGCACAGGTACAAGAGGGACCGTGACGTCATCACGCACAGTAGACACAATCCACTCTGTGACGTCATCACGCACAGGTACAAGAGGGACCGTGACGTCATCACGCACAGTAGACACAATTCACTATGACGTCATCACTTAAGTCGATGCACTAGGGGCCGTGACGTCATCACGCACAGTAGACACAAAAGGAGCTGGAACGTCATCACTCATAGAAGATACAATTGGAACTGTGACCTCATCGCGCATAGAAGACACGATGGGGGCGTGACGTCATCACGCACAATACACGATGGGGTGCCATCATCACGCACAGAAGACACGAAGGGGCGGCCGTGACGTCATCGCGCACAGGAGACACGATGGGGCGGCCGTGACGTCATCGCGCACAGGCGACACTATCGGGCGGCCGTGACGTCATCGCGCACAGGCGACACTATCGGGCGGCCGTGACGTCATCGGGCACAGGAGACACGATGGGTGGCCGTGACGTCATCGCGCACAGGAGACACGGTGCGGTGGCCGTGACGTCATCGCGCACAGGCGACATCGACACAATTAGCCAACACCGTGAGGGTTGTTGGGCCTTAAAAGGGCAAATATACAATAGGCGACGTTTCGGACAAGGGCTCTTCTTCAGAGCCCATGAATAAGAGAGTCCAGAAATAGAAAGTTAAGGGCCGTCCATAAATGACGTCACGCGATTTTGGATGATTTTGACCCCCCCCTCAAATATGACGTCACAAAGCTCTGCCCCTCCAAAAAAAAATGCTTCAAATCGCTGTAAACTATTGTCATTGTAGTGCGTATTTAATGTGGCGCTGCACTCTGATGCTGTAGGAGAAAACATTTATTACAAAGTCTATTTAATTAAGTAGAACGTGTTGTCTATATTTATTAAAGTTGCGCATTTTCACGTGACGTCACATTTCTCAAACTCCCCCCCCCTCCTCACACATCGTCACAAATGTCTGACCCCCCCCCCCCCCCCCCCAGGTGCGTGACGTCATTTATGTACGTCCCCTTACTGGTGAGAGTTGGAGAACTGTGGATCTGTACTGAATGGCAGCAGCGACTGGCTCACAATCCCCTTTCACTTCCCCAAGTTTGACTCGAGCAGGTGCCACGTGGCTCTTCAGCAGAAGCGACGTGGCCATCACGAATGGCGGCTCAACCACGTGGCCTCGTACCACGGTCACGTGGCAATTTACAGTGGCAGCCAAAGAATCTTGTAATCCATTTTCTTGTGCAATGTAATTGAGGGGCTGTTGTTGTTGTTGTCTTGTTGTGGTCTGGGGCTGTTGTTGTTTTGTTGTGGTCTGGGACTGTTGTTGTCTTGTTGTGGTCTGGGGCTGTTGTTGTTGTTGTCTTGGTGTGGTCTGGGGCTGTTGTTGTTGTCTTGGTGTGGTCTGGGGCTGTTGTTGTGTTGTTGTCTTGTTGTGGTCTGGGATTGTTGTTGTTGTTGTCTTGGTGTGGTCTGGGATTGTTGTTGTTGTCTTGGTGTGGTCTGGGACTGTTGTTGTTGTTGTTGTCTTGGTGTGGTCTGGGATTGTTGTTGTTGTTGTCTTGGTGTGGTCTGGGATTGTTGTTGTTGTTGTCTTGGTGTGGTCTGGGATTGTTGTTGTTGTTGTCTTGGTGTGGTCTGGGACTGTTGTTGTTGTTGTTGTCTTGGCGTGGTCTGGGGTTGTTGTTGTTGTTGTCTTGGTGTGGTCTGGGATTGTTGTTGTTGTTGTCTTGGTGTGGTCTGGGACTGTTGTTGTTGTTGTTGTCTTGGTGTGGTCTGGGGTTGTTGTTGTTGTTGTCTTGGTGTGGTCTGGGATTGTTGTTGTTGTTGTCTTGGCGTGGTCTGGGGTTGTTGTTGTTGTCTTGGTGTGGTCTGGGGCTGTTGTTGTTGTTGTCTTGGTGTGGGGCTGTTGTTGTCTTGGTGTGGTCTGGGGCTGTTGTTGTTGTTGTCTTGTTGTGGTCTGGGAGTGTTGTTGTTGTCTTGGTGTGGTCTGGGACTGTTGTTGTTGTTGTCTTGGTGTGGTCTGGGGCTGTTGTTGTTGTTGTTGTCTTGGTCTGGGGCTGTTGTTGTTCTGCCTTGCCCCAAGCTTACATTTAGTGTTGAAAGATCGGCAGGAATGTGCATACTTATGCAATTTGTACTCATCAATATTCATGTTCGTGTTGTGTTTACTGTCCGTGGCTTGTGAACACATTCTGTATGTTGCACTGTCATCAGTGGCGGGATGTTAAATCCCTCATCCGGTCTACAGGAGGTTGTGGGGTCGATCCCGACCCTGACGCCTGCTGCTGTATATGTGGAGTTTGCGTGTCTCTCTCCCCATGGTCGCGTGGGTTTTTCTGTGGGACCTCCGGGTTTTTATCTCCACATCTAGAAACCTGCGTTTAGAGTGTTTTGGCTGCTATACATTACCACGTGATGATAATCCATTTCGTTCAGCTATCATTTGTAAGAGCCAAGTCGCTTCTGAAACAGA